CTGATGGCAATTTTTCACTATCTTAACACAAGAGTCTTATTATTCCCCCATTTCCTTTTGCCAGCCCAGTCCCAACAGATTGGAAATCTTCAGTGATGAGTCTACCTTCCCCTGACCTGTCTGGAACTGGTCTCCTTCTTGAAAGCTTGTAAGCCAGTCATTTCTTGCCTTTATAGGCCCCCCATTTTGAGTAGACAATGCCTAAATTGCCTATCCCTGTCAACCCTGTGTACTGAGGAGGTGGCAGTGATCCTCGCTGTGAAGATTTGCTCCCTTTGAGCTACTACATCCATAAATATTGGTAAAGTTCATCAAGTTGTAGCAAGTTACTCTTTTTTCTCCCCCTCTTCTTTTTCTTCTAGTTGAGTTCTGATCATCTAGCCATCGAAGCCAGGTCAAGTGGGTACTATCTGCAAGTATGGGTGTTCTTGTGCATCTCCTCTCACTTCATAACAGCTGGATGCTTCACTTTCCGCTCTAGTCCTCTGTGGCCATGTCACTACCTCTGGGCCCAGGAGTCCTTAGGTCTTGCCATACTGCTGGACATCCAGGTCTCCAGCTGGGTTCACATGGGTCTATTGAACATGGTCGGACTTAGCTCTCCACTTCAGTGCTGTTTTTCCCATCTTCCCCTTATCAGTGACAATGTGGTCACCATCCAGACCACCTGCCTGCTCATGTATTCCCCTTGAGTCTCAGTCTTGGAAGAGGGTTTGCTTTGAGTAGTCCCGACCACTTGCCTTGATGGCTCCCGGGAGAAGAGCTTACTTGTTCTTGTAGTAATCAATCAGACTGCCGTTATTGTTTGGGAATTTTTCATGCTGTCTTTCTTTCACAAAGCATTTTCTGTTCTTCTAGCCACTGCAGGCTGCTCTACTCGTCCTTTTCAGTGGATATTTCTTACTCAGTCAGTTCTGGTTGGGGTTCTGGATTCCACCTATGGTGTTGTGCAATGTAAAGGCTCCACAGGAAACCTCTTTCACTGGGCAACTTCTAGCCCCCTTTACGGTATTCCAATCAGTTATAGGCTGAAGACGGATTTACAAGCTTTTTATAGTGATGTTTCTGGCTATTTTACAATGGTAGGCAAGAGAACCCAAGATTTAAAAGACAGCTAAGCATCTTAACATTATTTCCCTCTTTTACTCCTTCAAGCCGTACCTCAATCCCTATATCCCAGAGCCCTGTTGTTCTAAGGTTGTACACACATCATCATTTACCTCTGTCCCACTTAGCCCATGCAAATCTGCCTGTTCTCCCATCAGCCTTGTTCTTCCATTCTTGTGAATTGTCCCTCCCACCCCCCACCCTCAAGCTATCCTGTGTCTATTTCCTATCCTGTGTTTTATCTTCTCCCTCTCTCCTTCCCTCCTCTCATACCATACAACCTGGTGATCAGCAAATATATATATATAATTTTTCCCCCCTTTTAGTGTGGGTTCTTTTTCTTAATCTTTTAAAATAATGATCCTATGCAGAATTGCTCCTTTTGTGACTGACTAATTATACTCAACGGAGTTCTGGTGTGCCGCTGTGGGTTAATGTGCCAGACTGCAAAGCCATTTGAACTGCAAGGTCAGCAGTTCAAGCTCACCAGCTGGTCCTCGGAAACCCTATACAGGGGAACTATGGGTCGGAACTGATTCGACGGCACTTCACAACAACAATTATACTCAGCATAATGTCCTCAAGGAGTCCTGGTGTGGCGCTGTGGGTTAATGCGCCAGAGTACAAAGCCATTGGAACTGCAAGGTTGGAGGTTCGTGCTCACCAGTCACTCCTTGGAAACCCTATACAGGGTTGCTATGGATCGGAACTGACTCGATGGCACTTAACAACAACAAGAACAGTGTCCTCAAGGTTCATTCATGTTATGCGGTGGCTTGCAGCTTCCTTGTTGTTGTTCAAGGTAGCATAGTATTCCATTGTGTGTATGTACCACAGTTTGTTTATCCATTCTTCAATTGATGGGCGTTTAGGCTGTCTCCATCTTTTTGTTTTTATAAATAGTGCTGCTGTGAACATTGGTGTGCATATATCTGCTCATGTTATAGATCATATTTCTAGTGGGGAAATACCAAGTAGAGGAATTACCGGATCATAAGGTATTTCTATTTCAACCTTCTTAGGAAGCTCCATATTGCTTTCCAGAGTTGTTGGATCATTTTGCAATCCCACCAACAATGTAGGAGGGTCCCAGTCGCTCCTCGTCCTCGCTAGCATTTATTGTCCTCTACCTTTTTGATCTTTGCCGTTGTTGCTGGTTTGAGATGATGTCTCATTGTTATTTTGATTTGCATCTCTCTAATGGTTAGTGCTCCGGTAGCGTAGTGGTTATGAATCAGTCTGCGAACCTCACGGTCAGCAGTTCGAAACTACCAGCTGTTCCGCGGGAGAACGATGAGGCTTTCTGCTCCCGTAAAGATTTACAGCCTCAGAAACCCTGTGCAGGGTTGCTGAGTTGGAACCGACTCCATGGTATATCACAACAACAACAACAACAACAATGACTAGTGATCGTGAACATTTCTTCATGTTTGTTGACTGCCCGGATCTCTTCCTTGGT